TATAAAACTAGTAAATATAGGTATATAAAGTAATTACTAAGGAACCTAAATAAAGATAGTAAATAGGTTTCTATTATAGTATAGTTAGGTAAAAATCCCTTGATTATAAATACTAGCCACAAGTAAAATATTTGGCCGCACACACTGTATAAAAGAAGTCAAGTTTGATAGGTAGCGTATACTCAATAATTAAACGGGGTAAAACAACTAGCATAAGGTCTTGAATTGCAATGTCCGCAGGACCACTATTATTGCCTTATTGGTATCTTTCACAAATATATATCAAATCTCTTTGTAATTTATATCCTTATGGAGTTCCCAAAAAAAATTAATATTCCTTTAGATCCTAAATATTGTCGTTTTGATAAATTAAAGTTATCTTAAAATATTTGAGGACGTTTAATATGAAAAAAACATCGTTTTCATTTTTTTCCCCAGATCTACAATCTTATTTATATTTTATAATGATCACAAGAAGATTTTATTAATCCTATTTATTTGGTCATATGGGAAGAGTAATGAGAAGGATATGAATGCAAAGAAAATGACACAATAGAAAATGATATTAATCGTGCTAGCTACTATATCGTAAAACTGATTGAGACTGTTCAGTTATTAAGGCATCTTAAATGCAGGAAGTGTTTTGCTATAACCATTATTTTGCGGGTGCAGAGGATGGACAAATCATTGCTTGACATCTCACCACATCTTTTGCCTAGTCAATGCTATTCCAATTTTGACTGCCAATTTTAGTTGTTGACTATGGAACACTCAAGTAACCTTTTCTTGTTATTTTTGGCTTCCCTATAATTTTCCTTTTTCCATGCACATTCCAATGCACATGCTGTGGTGGCAAGTTACGTGGCGTGGCATGCATTCACCTTATCAAATATCAGTGTCATATAGGTTTGGATGTCTACCTTGGACAAATTTAACAAAAAGAGATATATTTAAATCAATAGTATTACGGCAGAGGCATATTTAGACTCAAAGAATAACAAAAGGTAAATTTAAACCTTTTCTCATAGTACAGGAATATAATTGGCCCTTTGCGGCATAAATAATCATAATTGTTATGAAACAATAAAAGAAGAAGAACAATATTGCAAAGAAAAGTAGGGAGAGAGAATTCTTATTGATATGGGATGAATTACAATGGAGTATAACCCTCTATTTATAGGAAGATGGTGACTTAGCCACCAAGTAATAAACCCTAGAATCTCTCTAAATATAGACATTCACCATAAATACGATTCTATTTATAACACTCCCCCTGAATGTCTATTCAACAGATAATGTGCCTCGTTAAAACCTTAACTAAAATAAAACCCAATGGGAAAAAAAAAATCTAGAAAAGCAAAAAGAGTACACATATCTAATAATACGCCTTTTGGTTGCCTCGTTAAAAACCTTGCAAGGAAAACCCAGTGGGACAAAACCTTGTAAGGGAAAAAGAGTGCAACGCGCATTAACTCCCCCTGATGAGAGCGTCAATTCACATCCTTGAGCCTTCGCATCCCGATCTTGTAAACTAGCTTCTTGAAGGTTGACATCGGCAAAGATTTGGTGAATAAATCCGTCATATTAACTCCAATGAATATGTTGCACCTTAAAAATCTTCGCTATCACATTATCATGCTTATAGTTATAGCAAGATACATTTGTGCACAAATTGTACTGAGGAAGTGGTACTTCAAGATCAAGAATTGTATATGCTTCAAGCAACTTAAATCCTACATGGATTGTCATATAAGTTAAGTCATATAAGCCATATAATAGACTTTAGATGCATATCATGTTTTCATGTCATGCTAAAACTGATTGCACATACCATTGACTTTATACTTTCAAGTGTTTGAACTACATGTTCAAAACAACATGTCTTTCATATGAAACCAAATTCTACTTGAATTGTTTCTCCAGACTTAAGATCCTCATATATATTTAGCGGTATCATAGATGTCGTCGACGAGCATTTTATATCGGTTCCAACCTCCTTATTTTTCATAAAGACATAACATAGAGATCTCTTCATTCATATATTCAGATACCTGAATCTCTCATGAGATTTTATGAAGTGTTATGTCATGTGATCTTCTAGATCACTTGCCTCCTTTATTATGATCATTTGCTCATCTTCTTTATCAAGAAGTTTATTTGAAACCGATTGTCTATACGCTTTAAACGTACCATAGACTTTGTCCTTCTAGGACTTATTCCAATAGGAGCATTTGCAGTGAGAATATAGTTACTTTCTTTGGGTCAGCAAATGCGTCTGGCATGCTTTGCAATAAATTGCACATGAATTATCCTTTTATGAACTTCAAGTTCATATTATTTTATTCGAGGATCTAGATGTATAAATGATAATTCATTCCATGTAACTTTTTCTCAACTGTTTATCATGTCTCCCCCTCATGTTAGAAAAACTAACTTGTTACCTCAACTTTGAGAATCCACCTTTGTGCGTTATGGTGTTAATCAAAATATATACCGCACATCAATAATAATAGTAAGATGGAATTATTTGGTTCCCGACCCTGAACCACTTATGAGGGGAGAATGTAATATACTTTCGTATATAACCTATATCAAACTGATATAGATAACTTAGTTCTCATAAGCAATAGTTTAGCTATTAAGTGGAGGCACTCAATAAATCATTTTGCTAAACCAATTGTAATATAAACCAGCTTATCAAGATAAACTGTCTTGAATAAAAAATCTGGAAATTATGCTCTAATCAAATTATTGAGCAAGTTACCTCGCAAACACCATGTTGCGGGTTATTAATAATCGCACATGTAACCATCTCATAGATGCATCTTATGTGGTATACATGGCAGGTGAATGGGCTCATATTCACCTTTGATACTTCCAGCATTCATGGGATTCAATCCCAATTTTAATTGGTCTATTAATTAACGAGAACAAGCAATGTAAGAGAATTCGTAAAGAACTTTCTAGTTCTTTAATATTTACCCATGTGAATTCTCTATTATTTTTGCACATCATACTTAAAAGATATGGCTAAACCAATTATGCCAACTGAATAAATTATCAATGTTGATAAATTTCAGATTTACGCCATGACGTGTGCAATTATCAATAAACTCCAAGTTTATTTATGATATGGATTTTTATATCAATAAATATCCACTTCGTTGTGGTATTCTTTTATTTATGTAGTACAAATTGGAGAATAAAGCGGGCAGCTTTTCACATACATATTATCTGGCTACAAGTTGTAGTAATAGAAGATATTAAATCTTTCCTTTATTTATAGTCTCAATATAATCAACCGCTTTCGCGTATACTTTGGAAACTGAATAAGTTTCTTTGAGACTTACTACAACACAATNAATAATTTTGAATAGAGCAAAATTAATAAAAAAGATTCATATAATCGAGATTTGATTGATTTACTAAAATTAAAATGTATATGTGACTGCATATGTTGAAGGTGATCTGATCTGTTAGATTTTAATACGTTGACTAGATTAACGGTCGAGCACGAACACTAGTGTATTTGGACTAGCTGATAAAGATACTTTTAATATTTGTTTCAGTAATTGAATTAAATATTTCCTTTTAAGGAAAAATCTAATAAATATATCTTTCCTTCTCTATGTCCAATTAGTTCAAGATCCATTGGAATGGACCAGCCAGTTAGTCAGCTGCAGTTTTTCCGAAACAGAGACCGTGTCTTCACGCTGTTCTGTCTGAGAAATTATTATTTTTTCAATAGATCATTAAGGTCTGATTTTTTTTTGAACTTCATACATAACTGGAGCTTAGTGCATCGATTATTTGACACCGTCCACAAAGGAACAAATTTTAGTTACAGTACCACTAAAGTAAAACCAGCCGACTCATGTTTTCATCCAATTAAATGCGTAGTACTGGAGTAGTAACATTTTCTCCTTGTTTTAAAATTGATATTTGAAATTTAAACATGTATTTAAATTTCTTATGTTGAGAGGATTATATAATTTTTGCATTATTTATGTGGTACAACTTTCCGAAAAAAAGGTGATTCAATTGAATTCCCTTTTTCGCATGTGGCTCCGTCGTATGAGAGCATAAAAACTTTGAATCTTGAAAATTAATATCTTTCCATTAAGTTACGTAATATCTTCAGTTAAATTCATTTAATCTTGTAAATAGAGAAAAAACTTAAGCGCATTTTAGCCCTTTTAAGGATTAAAAAATGGCGTAGCAAATAAAAGAATATTTGTTATGAAATAATAAAAGAAGAAGAAGAGTATTGCAGAGAAAAGTTGAGAGAAAGAATTCTTATTGATTTGGGATGAATTACAATGGAATAGAACCCTCTATTTATAGGGAGATGATGACTTAGCCACCAAGTAATAAACCCTAGAATCTCTCTAAATATAGACATTCACCATAAATACAATTCTATTTATAACAATAATATTAATTTAGTTTAGAGTCTTTTCGGCTTTGATAATTCAACTCACAAGAAAACTCAAAGGTCTCTTTTCCGGTTAAAGTTTCTATATAACACACAAACTTAATTATATAAGCGAGAATTTATTGTAGTTAAAGCAAACACATGTTGAGAATGCAATATGACCAAATACATGACAATATCCTTTTTCTTTTTCTTTTTACTGTTTCAACAGATATAGATGAGCTCATAATACATATATAAATCCACTTCCAGCACAGCCTCTACCATATCTGACTTGACTGTCATCAACTTGCAATCTTTCATCCTTTAGGCTCTTTCAATTTAATACTAAAAGAAATCTAATAAACCGCTCACCATCACTTTTCTATAAGATTTTTTCTATGTCAAAAAAAGACCATCCACAAACCCTTTAATACTGAAAACAAATACTCCTACTTATTTATTTCCAAACAAGAACAAGACAAAAAAAACAAAAAGAAAATTACAAATTTTAGAGAGACCAAGTTGTGGTGTAGATTAAACCTTTCGCTCTCCACGCCCCCTATACTTACACTAGTACTACTACTATTTCAACAACAAAAAGGAAATAACAAGACATTTCTCAAAATCAAACATAAACCATTTTCGGCATATATACTCCCCATAAACCAAACCATTTTCCTCAGCTTCTAGGTTTTGTTCAAGTTTTGGCATGCAACGTTAAATTCACGTAAGTGCAGTTCAAATAATTACGTGTTTGGTTATTGTGTTATTGTAATGCTTGCTGTGTCATCTTTGAGTAACACAAGGAACAAAGATGAAAGGGGTAAGGAGATGGAAAGTTTCACGATCGGAGGAGGTGACGATTTTCCAGATTTTATGGGTGAGAATTTGCTCGACAGTATTGATTTTGATGACCTTTTTGTTGGGATCAACGACGGAGATTTGCTACCTGATTTGGAGATGGACGCTGAGATTTTTGCTGAATTTTCAGTTAGTAGTGGCGATGAATCTGATGTGAACAACTATAATATCTCTACTCCTACTACTATAAAAAATGTAGAACAAGAGAGTTGTTTAAGAAAAGAAGTGGAAAAGGCATCATCAGTTTCAGCTTCGGATCTTGGTTCGGGGTTAACGAGCCTAAATTATCAGGGAGAAGAAATTGTGAGTACTCAAAAGAGTGAAGAATCTGCTCCACCAGTGAATCAGAATCCTCTGCATAAAGAAAGTGATAAAGGCAAAAAGTCATCTGCTCAATCCAAGAATAATCCTCAAGGGAAGAGGAAAGTTAAGGTGAAGATAAAAAAATTTAATCATTTTCTCGACCGGAAATGACTATTTTTCAAATAACCTAACTCTCTTTCATATTTATGGGATTTCACAAATGGGAAGCAAACTTCACGAGAAATCGTGGGTGTCTCTCAAATCCTATGTTAGAAACGTAGAATAATTGACAGTAAAATTAGGAGATACTATTTTTTTTTTTATAGTAATTATTTAATACTACATTGTTATGAAACTAAAGGAAGTTTTCTATTTTTTTTAAATTTATTTTTGATGGCTTGAGTTTTGTGGATAAACTTTGGAATTTTCTTGAGCTGTGTGAAGGTGGATTGGACGCCAGAATTGCACAGGAGATTTGTACAAGCAGTAGAGCAGCTAGGTGTAGATAAGGCAGTCCCATCTAGAATTTTGGAAATTATGGGAATCGATTGTCTCACTCGCCATAACATTGCCAGCCATCTTCAGGTATTCAATCTTCTTCCTTTCCTTTTATAACTTTCCGTTTAGTTTTGCACTTTCCTTTTTATTTTCTTTATGGTTAAATAAAATGGTCCTCCTTTCTGGGCATAGCTGTTCCATTGCATTTGGAAAGGAATATATTAGACAATGATGAAAAGTAGGAGTACTACTATTTGTATACTTTTCCTTGTTCTCTAATCCCAAATGGCATATATAGTATTCTTTAAAGAGAGAAGCAGATTTCATCTGAAAATATGAAGTTTTCTGCTTTGCTCAAATTAGAAACAGATTTCAGCTGTTTCCATGGCTTGAACTCGTGACCACCCTGGTCACACGGCAGCCAGTGGAGTATCCAGGATTTTAAAGTCGTGGATGCTCGCCGATAAAAATTCTGAAAAAGAGAAAAAAGGAGTTTAGTTGTGGGTGCTCATTTATTTATCTAATATTTTTATAATTATCTATGTAAATTTACTGAATCTTGTCAAAGATAATGGGTGCTTGAGCAACCACAAGTGATTATTTATATCCGCTACTGATGGCAATAACTTTACGAGTTATACCAAGGCTCTGTTCTCGTTTGTTACAAACGTTTCCTTATAAATACTGCATCTTCAAAATTGTAATCATCCCACGGAACATCGAGTTCAAGTAGTTTGATTGAAATTGTTGAATGTGCAGAAATATCGATCCCATAGGAAGCATTTACTTGCAAGAGAAGCCGAGGCGGCGAGCTGGAGTCAAAGAAGGCAAATCTACGGCGGTGCAGGAGGCGGAGGCGGAGGAGGAAAGAGAGAGATGAACCCATGGCCTGCGCCGACTATTGGCTTTCCTCCTCCGATGGCAACTCCAATGCCTCATTTTAGACCCTTACATGTATGGGGTCATCCATCTGTCGAACAATCATATATGCATATGTGGCCTAAACATTTAGCACCTTCACCTTCTCCTCACCAGCATCCATCGCCTGCAGCTTGGCCACCTGCTGTTCATCCTCCTCCTCATCTTCATCCTGCAGATCCTTCTTTTTGGCATCCACATCATCAACGGGTGAGTTCTTTTTACACGCCTTGGTCCAAATGGAATAGCATTTTTATTCTGCATGTCTATGGAGTTTTGAAAAATCCAAATATCTCAAAGACAGACAGTGAGGGTTATCAATTTATTCGGTAAGCTATTAAGGGCTCATATAGCCTATGCTGGATAAATGATTCTTGGCCGGAGCAATGAACTATTTCTGATTGGGGCAGTTGACAATGGAATCCAATATGTCAACTTATAAATTAGGAAATGTAACTACATCAACTTGAATTGTTTGAGTGGAAGCTGTATATATGTTAAACTATGTGACTATCTCGTCCATCTAAAAGTTTATGTCATTACAAAAAGTATGATTTAATTACTTATTATATTATGACTTAACATGGAGAGATTATTTTTCAAATATTTAAACAAGAACGGAAAAGAGTGTATGCTTTTGTAGAAACATATATGAATTAACTGTAAGTGAGATATTAGTAATAACAAGTTTGGCCTTAAAATTAAACATTTTACTTAGAAATGATTATGTTTGACTATAAGAATAAAATGACAAATTCTCCTTTTTCTATTGTTGCAGGTACCAAATTCTCTTACCCCAGGAACTACTTACTTTCCAGCACCTATAGCACCAACGGTAACTATTCATCAATCAATTAATCATTGCTCTTTGAATTATTGCTTCTCAGAAAGTATGCAATTTAATTAGTTTTGGATTTATGTACATACAGACCATGTGTTTCTTGGCATTTATAGTACTATATTTTTAAAAGTTTGGCTTATATAGTCAGAATAATTTGATGCAGAGATATCCTGCTCCTCATTCAGTCCCAGGCATTCCACCCCCTGCCGCCATGTACAAAGTAGACCCCGGCATTGGCGTTCGAACTGCCGTCGCCGGAGCTGGACAACCTCTTCCTAAACCTCCTTGTGACTTTCATCCTGTATGCTCTCTCTCTCTCTCTCCTTAATTAGCTTCTCGCATGATTCTTGATTTAGTTCATGCATTGTGCAAATTGTTAAAAAATTAGAAAGTACGTACATTAATTTTATTTACATGGTCACTTTAAACGGACCATGCACTTGAATGCCTTATCACTCCGGCATCATGCAATAAGCTAATATGCTTACTGAATTTGTACTTCTTATTGTACCCAAAATGAGGTCTAATCCTTACTTGTCAAGGTAGAGATAACTGCATGCTAAAATTGAACGACGGTTCTAAAATATGACACTTGCAACACTTTTGGTACACATGTATATGCACAATTTATTACTCCTACTAGCTACTTTAAGAATAGAGTATAACTTTTATACACCAATAGTACCCAAAAAAAAATACTCCATTGACTAAGGATAACTTTCATAATAAGTGAGATTAGTAACCTGAAAAATGAAGCATGTGACATACTATAATTGGTTAAAACATTAATAATACAAATATCATTAACTTATAGCCTAAATCCTTAAGTATGCATAGTCAAGATCTTTTGTATTTGCTAAACTTGGTACATACATATTATAGTTTCCATGTCGGTCATTGTTAAACTAGGTATCCACGTATAGTAGTAGTGCTCATATTCGATCGGGGAACCTTTTATTTATTTATTTTATTTTTATGTATATTTGCTCAGTACATTAGTACCGTTTCGAAGCTTTTCAATACGTTTTACTAACATATTTGTGAATATTGACAGTCAAAGGAGAGCATAGATGCGGCTATTGGAGATGTTTTATCAAAGCCATGGCTGCCACTTCCCCTCGGACTGAAACCTCCCGCTGTCGACAGTGTGCTGGGAGAATTACAACGTCAAGGGGTACCTAAAATACCACCAACTTGTGCATAGAGTTATTTTGGCAGCGCAGCTAGCAAAGCCGGTGGAATTTTTTGGGGTTCTCTTACACCAAAGAAACCCTTCAATTCGACGACATTTCCTGCACGTAGAGATGCATGAAGATGAATTCAATCTGTCATCACCATCATCCTCATATATCAGAAAAACTTTTCTTTTTTTGTTTCATAGCTTTGTTGTCCTACTTCGTTCTTGTTTCGTTATGTGCAAGGACATGCTTTAACTTAACAATGGGGTTTGCACATGCATGAACTGATATATCTTTTTGTGATGATGTAATCACCGGTTTGAGAATTCTAATAATAATAGCGAGAGCTTCTTGTAAACTTGCTTTAAGTTAAGGTTCTCTTCTTCGATTCCTTTCTTTATTAGCGCATTCATGACTCTGGTCTGTTAGAAAACGTTATACTTGTTCCTAGTTGATTGTGTAAGTCTTTCCAAATGGTTTCAAATCAACTGTGTGATCAAAATGGATAATAACTATTTGAATAATGCATGTAAGCCTTTTCTTTTCTGATGACTAAACTACACTCAAAATCCACATGCATGTATACCGGGCATGCATGCACAGAAATGAACGAGAGATATGTTTAAAAAAGAAAGGAACTCCTCAAGTAAGCATACAAATAAATATTCCAGAAAAAGGCGAAAAAGAATGCACAAGTTAAAATAACTGGAATATTAATCCACGCATGAATATGAATATCTAGTAATTTGAGAGTCATAGATGTCATTCAAATTAAGCCCACCATATATAATTGCATAAATGCCATTCATAAGGAGCTAAATATTATGTTTCCAGTTGCATAGAATCAACGAGGTATATACCAAAAAAGAAAACTTCTGTAGCCTTAGAAAAGAAACAAGAACAACAAATGGCTTGTTAGGTTGTGTTTTAGTTGTACATTTAGGTGGACTATTGCAATCATGCATCATATCACTCTTAATTCGGAGCATGGAAAAAGAAAGGCTACTGTTTTCCTCGTTATTTACCCAAAACATTTTTGTTTGTTCCTCCTACATCAAAGGAATTTGATCAATAATAAGCAAGAAGTTAGTAGGTTTGTGGTTCTGTACGTGATGATTCTCCTGGTTATAATTAGTCCATTAATCAGAACTGCATGAAATATTACTTTTACATGGGTCTAGAGTTTAAGTTTGAAACAAGATCTAACGAAAAGTCAAAATAAACATGAGTTCTTTTGCTCTTTTCTTGGCAATTCTGAAATTTGAATGCTGGAGAACGTGTGTAAGCAGTCTGCAAACACTGAAGTCTGAAGTTCAAAATGGCTGTTATCAGATTTCTCAATGAAACAGTAGCTCAAACCTCAGTTGAGATTCGATGATGATGAGATCTAACCTCTACGCCATGGGAGGTTACAGTGAAGAAAATGATGAAGAAGGAGATAGAAGAAGTTTCTGGAATTTCAATTCTCTAAATGAAAAGTGAGTGGAGTGTCCACTATATACAAACGAGAACAAGAAGGAAATGAAGAAAATAAAATCAGCTAACTAAAGCTTCTACAGCTGTCATTTAACTAACTACTAACTACTCCACTAGCTGATAACTAACACTAACAACTCTGTTCCAATAACTAACTAAGCTAAGCTAAGAGAATAATTAATCTTAACACACACACAACCCCCCCCCCCCCCTCAAGTTAGAGGTGTGGTGAACACAACCAACTTGCCTAATGTAGCACTGTGCTTGATATAGTCAAAACATCTGCAAGCTGATTATCTGTTTTGATGTGGTGGAGAGAAATTAAGCCTGCTTGTAATTAATCACGCACAAAATGACAATCCACTTCTATATGCTTGGTCCCTTCGTGAAACACTGGATTCTTTGCAATGTGCAGTGCAGACTGACTGTCACAGAAAACTGAGATAGGCAAGGAAAAAGGGGCAGTCAGTTCCTCAAACAGTTTTCTCAACCACAATAGTTCCCCCACTACTTTCCTCGAAGCTCTATATTCTGCTTCTACAGAGGATAGAGATATAGTCTCTTGTTTCTTAGATTTCCAGCTGATGGGATGTTGCCCAGTAGTATTAAATAACCTTTAATATACCTTCTAGAATTCGGGCAGGCTGCCCAATCAGAGTCACAATAAGCATTAACTGTGTGATCTCCATCCTTTGACATGAAATACCTAAAGTAGGGTCATTTCTCAGATATCTGAGCAGATGAAATGCTGCTTTCAGATGAGGTTCTCTGGGCTCCTGCATAAACTAGCTCAGGTGTTGAACACTATATGCAATGTTCAATCTGTTGTTAGTTAAAGTTCAGTTTACCTACTAGCTTTCTATAATAGGTAGGATCCTGCAGTATTGTGCCTTCTCTGGCCTTCAGCTTTATAGTGGGATCCAAAGGTAAAGAGCAAGGCTTGTAATCCAAACAATTGTACTCTTTTAACAAGTCTAGCACAAACTTCCTTTGAGATATAATAACCCCATTATCTTTATACATAATATCCAACCCCAGGAAGTAGTGTAGCTACCCCAGGTCCTTGATCTTGAATTGTTCATGTAGGAATGCTTTGAGTTATGCAATTTCCTGTTGGTCAGTTCCAGTGAGTAGTACATCATCCACATATACTGCAACATATACTGAGGATTCTCCATTTCTTTTGTAGAAAAGTGAGTAGTCATACATGGAATGTATATATCCCTTTGAGTAAAATGCTTCAGTCAATTTTGCATATCATTGTCGACTAGCTTATTTCAAACCATAAAGAGATTTATTCAGTTTACAACCAATCCTGGTTTATCTACAACTAGTCCAGGTGGTACTTGCATATACACCTCCTCATTGAGGTCTCCATGGAGGAAAGGATTGTTCACATTCAACTGAGATATGGACCAACCTTTCTTAAGTGTTGTAGCTATCAAGGCCATCACTGTTGTCATCTTTACCACTGTGAGAAAGTTTCTGTATAATCAATTACTGCCTGTTGAGTGTCGTCTTTAACAACCAGCGTGGATTTGAACCTTTCAATACTGCCATCTACTTTGTGCTTCACCTTATAGACCCATTTGCAACCTATTGCCTGCTTCCCAGGTGGTAATATTACTAGGTCCCAAGTATGATTGGAATATAGTGCTACAAATTCCTGTGTCATTGTTGCTTGCCATGCAGGATCAATGGTTGCCTCCTCATATGATGATGGTTCTCTGTCATGACAAACATTTCTCACAAAAATCAGACTATTGGTAGTTAGTAGTTTAGCAATAAGATGATTCAAAAGAATAAGGCACTTAGGGAAACAGGATTTGTTTTGAGGTGAGGAAGGGAATGTACATAATCTTGCAGATTGATAGGTGGTTTATGAGTTCTTTGTGATTGCCTCAGTTGGACAGGTTCTCCATGGGTCTGTTCAGTGTAGTATTGTTGTGGTGAATCAGGTAGTGAAGAAGTGGGTACTGCAGAAGGTGATAGGGAAGCTACATGTACAAGTGATATAGGATTAGATGTGTTATCTGAACTCCTTTGATCATTCAAATTCTCATACACTTGTGTGATATTTGTATTATCAAAAGGTTGCTCACATAGACTCAATGAAAAGAATTGGATGAGGGACAGATGATTGAGGAGATTTGTTCATATTGACTGCAAATGGAAAGATGGACTCATTAAAGACTACATCTCTGGAGATATGAATCTTCCTGGTAGCTAGACTCAGAACTTTGTACCCCTTTGTGTTGAAAGGATAACCAACAAACACATGTGGTGTTGTTTTGGGTTCAAACTTGTCCCTGTGTGGTATTGGTACAGTAGGATAACATAAGCAACCAAAGCTCTTTAGGTGAGAATACTTTGGCTTTCTTTTATACAATAGTACATATGGGGTTTGATTGTTAATAGAAGTAGAAGGTAATCTGTTTATAATGTAGGTGGCACAAAGAACACATTCACCCAGTATCTTAAAGGTAATTTGGATTGGAAGAGAAGTGCTCTGGCTGTTTCAAGGAGATATTTATGCTTTCTTTCCACCACACCATTCTGCTGTGGTGTTTAGGGACAGGTTCTTTGATGGATGATGCCTTTAGATTGAAACAACATACTTGCTTCTGTGTTAGTGAACTCTAATCCATTGTGTGACATTATGGATTTGATAGTTACACCAAACTAGTTTTCTACTAGATTCATGAATTCTTTGAGTATTTGAAGAGCATTACTTTTGCCGGATAAAAGGTGAGTCCAAGTAGATCTACTAAAATCATCCAACATAGTTATGAAGTATTTACATCTATCATGTGTAGGAACATGATATGGACCCCACAAATCAACATGTAGAAATTCAAAAATGCTATTGGTTGTACTATTTTCTGAGGGAATGGTAGTCTTTCTTCTCTAGCCATTGGGCAGATGGTGTAGTTGAAGGGTTGTTTGGGAGAGAAGTTGACAGGGATAGAAGTAGTATTTTTCATTTTGACAAAGGGGACATGTCCAAGTCTATTATGCAATAACACATCTATATTTCCTTTAGCACATAAATGAGAAAATATACTAGGAACCTTAGAAGATGGACTCGTAAAGGAAAGCTATTCTTCAATATTTGCACATGTACTATTTACAACTGGATAAAAGGAACACGCTTATTGATATGCAATGACCTATTTACAATAGAATGAGAGGGACAATGTGTGTTACAAGTTCAACAAGTAGAAGTTGCGGACAAGGCATGAGTAGTCTTTACTGCGGGGCTTGTACTGTTCCTCTTCAGACAGCTTGGGCACACGATGTACAACCTATCTCTCACTCTACCAATCACCAGAGGACTCTTCATTGAAGGGGCCTACAGTATGCAACAATGTTTACAAAAGCAACAAGACAATTGAGATGAGAGGCCAAAGAATGAACAGAGATCAAATTGTATCTAGAGGAAGGAACAAACATCACTTTGTCTAGAGTGATCTTAGGAGTGAGCATCACACTACCAATTTCTGTCACATTTACCTTGTAGTCATTTGGAAGTACAACTAATAAAGGATAGGGTAAAGCTATTATGTTGGTTAATAAGGATTTGTTAAAAGTCATGTTGTTTGATGCCCCTGAATCTATAATCTATGAGTCAGCTTTGTTTTTGAAACATTCACATGACAGTTTACCAAAATCAATGGAGGAAGTACAAGCTATAATACCTACAAAGTTTGTTGCTCCTGATGCAATATTAGCACTAGTTGTGCAGTCTCTTCCCCCTCCTGATTGAAACTACGATAGTAGACTCACTAACTGGCTATATACCTCTTGGGCGAGACTCACACTTTGAGCATTATCATGAGCAGCATATTTCTCAGTCTCAGCAGGTTGTGTGTCAGTGGTTGCTATATGTGCA